CTCGCTCCATGCGTGCAATTGTCTTCTTTCCCGTCCTCACACAGGCGAGAAAATGTAAGTTTCTCCTTGTATAGGATAAAAAAAATATTGTATATAACGCTAGCGCGAAGTTATTTCGCGAAATTGAACTTCGCGCTCTTATATAAATAACTATTTTTGCAACTAAATTAACGTATTGAATCCGCGCTAATAAAAAGTTTTTGAAATCTGTCTTCTCTCTCCTCTTTAATGTTGCTAAAATATTTTGTTTTTTTTCTAGTGCCCAACTGCTTTAATTAAAACATCTTTATGATATTATTATTTTTTCTGCATTTTGACCGCAATAAAAGCAATTCGAAGTAAAATCGAATTCTTTTGCTTCCTGAACAATTTGTTTTTGTTCACTAACTCTTCTTCCTCTTCCTACCTGTTTTGCAGCTGATGGGATTAAGCTAGGGATGTTGATCGTGAATTTACAGGAATTATGAATAAAATCCTCACGTAGTTTATTCCAGGTTTTACATCTCAAATCATTTGCTTTGGCCGGTAAAACTAACGTTATTATTGCAGATTTTGCAAGTTTATCAACAGACCCAACGCAATTGCATCAGCTATAAAACAGGCAGGAAGAAGATCCAGTGAACAAAAACAAATTGTTCAGGAATCAGGAAGCAAGATAATGCGATTTTATTTCGAATTGCTTTTATTGTGGTAAAAATCATAGACATGCTGATTCTCATATGTCTATGGTAAAAATGATAAAAATAATAAAGATGTTTTAACTAAAACAGTTGAACATAAGATAACAAAAGACATATTTCGAAAAAATCTTTATTAACATCCAACACGTTGATTTTCTCGAATATTTTTTATTTTTGTTTATTAAAATATAAAAGTCTTCCCGAAAATGTTGCTACCCCGCGCACCTTTGTACGATGAAAAAAAATAGATTTTTCATCCCCTTGAAAAAGAGGTAGTTTTTCAGGAATCATGAGATCTCGAAAACGGGGCCAAAACAATTGTCTCCTTTTCTATCATACAACAAGCTATCTTTACTCCAAATTTCAAACCCCTACGACTTTTTTTCGTAAAAATAAGAATAAAATCGAAAAAAAAAGGTTTTTCCGGTTTTTCTAGACAAATTGGAGGTTATGTGTAAATAGTGCAGATACAAAAGTTGTTCATTTTTTTATTCTCTATAACTTTTATATTGAACATTTTCGCCTAAGATTAATAGTTTTGCCACAAATTCCAAATACCAGTTTCCACCCCTTTCAACCCCCGTGATTTCACCCGCGGAAAAATTCAGTTGTTTTAATTATTTTTTCCCCAATTCCTAATCATTTCACCAGCGTGAATAACCCGGTTTGAACCGGTAACTAATTTTTTTTGTTAAAAAATATTATATATACTGGACTTTAGTAAATGGTTGGGTTATAAGGAGAGGAGGCTCTTTACACACAAACATTTAATTTAAAGACCGCCTGGCATACATTCAAAATCCTCCGACACTCCATTCCGCAGATTTAGCCTTTAAGAGTACTTTCCTCCGACAAACCGTTTTGGAGGTATTCACTCTTAAGGATTTGACATCACCAATGGATATATTTCTTCCAGACGTCCCAATCGCCCTTTGCGAGTACCCTCTTGCGACAATCCATTCTAGAGATATAAGGGAATATATCCGATCACGATAAGGTGTCGAGAAGGAGGAATATGCGTGGTAGAAAGTAATTCCTTTCGTTGAGACCTTTCATTAGGGTACCATAAAGGATAAACCGGCTCCCCCCCTTCCAACCCCGTCTTTTGATAAGAGGACAGAAAGAAGGGCAGTAGTTGGTAGAAAACGGTTCCTTTCGATGAGACCTTTCATTAGAATACCATGAAGGGTAGAACGTGTGTTAACTTCCCCCTCCCCCCATTTTCAAACGTTTAACTTGGCACCAGTAAAGGCATGCGTATGCAAAATCTGAGACCATTTGGTTGTCGTATGTAAAAATTATGCACGTTTCACTTTCAAAAACAGCATCTCGTGAAGTAATTCATGGGGACCCCCCCTTTAAGACAGCGAAATTTGATGATGACACACCTTCAAGGTATAGGCTACCTACTGCAATTCCAGGATTGTAGAACCATTCCCCTAGAACTAGTTCAAAACGGCACAAGTGGGTACGGGCGGACGGACGGACGAACAAAACGCAAACAATAGCACAACGCTTTCCTTTGCAATTAAGTTTCGTAACGTCAAAAATTTTCCCCTATATAGTAATTTGCGTAAGAATCGAATATTGGCGAGATGCGGTCTACATTTCGATCTCTCTTATGTAACCGCATTCACTTTCCGCGACAATCGACATGTAGGTATAATGTAACCTGGGACCTTGATCTCAACGTCAGACATTTACTACCTACTTTCTCTTCATTTAATAACGTCTTCACTTAGCTATAATAAATTCACGCGATCTGCTATTTATTAATTATTAATTTTTTCATTGCGATTGGTTTACCACGAGGGATTCTCCCGCAAGGGATTATGAAACAATCTGGCGTTTCCGTTTCCTGGTGGTGAGTTTACATAAAGCAAGTCTTTGCAACGTGCCGTATGAAAGTTTCCTTAAATTCGCTCGATTTTGATTGCGTAATTTATTCATATAATATTTGTAAAATTCCTATTAACAATTCTGCAATTCATCGTCTGTGTTATAAGTACGGTAAAACGTTATTGCATCATGCTATCTGCAAAGCCACAGGTGAAAATCCACAAAAGCACTTTCGACTGTGTGCATTGTTAAGCATTTAGCAAATTTGGTATTTCCAAAATTACGTTTGTGTGGCATACTTCTTAAGTGCCAAAATTACGTAACAATGGCTAATTGGTGAATTAATGTTGTACGATCGTTTCAATTAGACGGATCTTTTGAACCGGAAAGTCAGGTTACATGGTGATCTAACAAATAATAAATAAGTTTTATTAAAATTATTCGAAAGACTTTCCTTTTCTGTGTACAACTTTTAAGAAGATGCTAGGGTTTATTACAAAAAAATCGGGAAAAAAGGGTCGAAGTTAAAAAAAGAAAATATTTTTATGCCAAAATGGTTATTTTGATTTTATTCAAACAGTAACCCACTTTTATTATTAAGTTATTTTTTTCTTTGTTTAACCTACAAAAATTGGGATGTTTATGTTTTATTACAACAAACTTGGGGAAAAAATTTAAATTCTCCGAAATCCAGCAGCTTAGTGCGCGGTTAATATTTAGCATGAGCGATTGCTTGATAAATTCGGCCGTTGCTTTCTTCTTAGTTTTAATGCAAAAAAACTCAATACTTCTTGGTTAAAATTTCAATGTACATCTGTATATAATGCAGTTTTTATCATGATTCATTAATATTGAAATTGTAAAGTAAAGGAGAACGTGACACATCTCACATTTGCACACAGGCTGCCGACTTAATGAGGGTGGCGACGGTCAGTGGGTACCCTATACGTTTGGGATAAGTTGTAAAATGCCTTTAAACAATAACAAATGTCTTTAGACAATAAATGAATTATCACTAACAAGTATTAGTAATAAGCACACAAAAATAAGAAAAGCGTGTGAAGATCGGTTTTTGGTTCAAGCTAGGAAGCTGTTTTGTTAAGAATTTGGGACCTGGTTTTGTGTGTTTTGGACACGAGGTGCCTGATACCCCTTGCTGATGTTGTTAATTGTTTTATTTGAGTAGAAGTCGGAAAAGCACACATAACATACCTACCTATACAAACATTTTTGAATGGCAATACTGTTTCATTATTGGCGTAAAAAACATCAGTTGCTTCAAAGGTACAATAGATCAACAAGAAAATTGATTTTGTTGTTTTAGGTCATCACATTTCCAGCTCGAAAAGCATCAAATGCAGATTCTTCGATTTTCGAAGAGAAGTGCATAGAGTGTGTAAGTTCTAAAAGACAAGAATAATCTAATTGTCACATGTAGGTGTAACTATATATACTTATAACCGAAAAATGTCCTCAACACCATCAATATGTATATGTGCAAATGAAAGGTGATTGAAGCAATTTCGGCGAAACACGTTGCATGTTAGTCATTACCAATTCAAAAATAGCTTGAAAATATTCGAAATTGACAAATTCAAAATGTTAAGAAATAATGAAAACGAATCAATAATTTCCTGCTTACACAATCTCCAACTGACTACGAGACAACTAAAGAAATTAGTAACAGATGAGTAATCCAAACTTGGCGTACCGTTTCCTGCACTGCATTTTCGAAATCGATGGGAAATAAGTTCTAAAGCAAGGTCATAGAATTAAAATGAAGGAAACCAGAAAAATTCTGTACTTGACATGAACTTTTTAACCTTGTTACCATGAAGAAGGCCAATAAACAGTCTCTTGGCGGAACGGTTGTAATGTAGTCGTTCCTAATTACGTACTGACTGGAAAATAGAATTTTTCACTGCACATCTAGCAAGAATAAATCTTATGTTTCACACAGGAAATTACAAGATTATTAGATAAGTCGCAGGTACCACTACGTCAATATCGGTTACATAAAGTTGATTGAGCCTATAATGTTTTTTTTTGTAAATGTAGAGACATTAAAATTTGCAATAATGTGTGGTTAACCGCATAAACATTAAAAAAAAGTAGACCGATGATATCTCTAAACGATTAATTGAAATAAACAATGGAAAGTGTTTCACGCGACAATTGTAGATAGTGCAAAAAGAAATTTGTTGAAACAAAATGAGCCGTTTAAAATTTTAGTGGTAAAATACACGCAACAATCTATTTGTTTAATAAAAAATGTAGGTACATTGTTTACTTGCATAATTAGTAGAAGAAAGTTTCTCTACTCATTACCCTTAACCATCTTGGGATGTGGTTTATTGTTATTGATCAATTTATCAAAGAATAGTAGAAAACAATGGCGAGAGTAGTATTACTTAATTGCCAAAACCACTTTGTTAGATTTTTAGATTATGCTTCGATAACTTTCTTCCATTTTAAACTCACTCTTTAAGGCCCAAGTTGCTCCAGCTGTAAGACCGTCTATGTAGGTTTGCATGTCTTTTGCACAATCCTCCGATAATTCAATTTTAATTGTATTCCAATTTGCCGCCAGTAGCTGAGTGTTGTAAAAATCCAAAGCACGCGATAAACCAACCGAAACTTTTTCATTCGTGTGATTAGTTAATTCTTCACTATGTTCACTTATATTAATCGACGGTAACAAATATTTATTTTCAACAATCGATCCGTCCAAATAATCCATTTCTTTTAATTTGTCCCCAGCTTCCGTTTGGGAAAACGCTCGCCACACGCAAATCGTCAAAATAATTATTTTCATATACATGATCAATCCGACTGTTCATTACCGATAGTTAAATCATAAATGAATGATTTTTTAACAATGCCTAAGACGGAGTAACACTTTCTCCAACTCTTCACCTTTCCACTATGTACGTTTTCGGTTTAACTATGTAGGGCAACCCCTCTCGATACTCTCGCTTTTAATGTTTACGCAACTTGGAATTATGTCAATCGCTCCACTTCTCAGTTTACTTCTAGTAAGGCATCAAATTATTAAAAATTAATAACCCCCAACGCAAATGGTGAGCGATTTCTCTCGAATAAATATTGCATAATTCATGCACACATAAATATTCCTATTCTGGAATGGTCACAGTATTGATTTGAAATTTTATTAACATAAACTGCAGGATGTGACCAGCGCAAAATTTTTAAGTTTGCATACAAGCCCAGTTACATACATATGTATTGGACCAAAGCAAATTAATATGCAACACTATTTTTTGAATTAGAATTGATTATACTACTAGATTATCCCCCGCGACTTCGTACGCTCGATATTGAGGGATGATACCGAAAACCCAGCTTACAGAATGTAAATATGTAAATATATCGATACGGTACGGAAAATAACATAATGCGACATCACGACAAAAAAAGTTTAAAAAATAAACCGATCGGGTCCAATTGTGAATCTAAATCCGGGGACACACAGAGACACATACCAAAAATTTAATCAAAATCCGTCCAGCCAGGAGGATTTCAGAACACATGGACAGAAGAATTTTATATATAAAGATTATTTAATACTATGTAGTTTTGTCAATTCATCAATAATATCTAATACTTTTATTAACTGCAATAATTATAAAATAAACAAAAAAACGCTCAAAAAGGTAAAGTAAAGTCTATTTGTTTTGGATAAATTATTTTGCTCGTAGATGCGCTTTTGAATTGGCAAATAGATCCACTGTACTAACAAAGAGAATAAGTTAAATAGAACCATTTATTTACTCGTATTTAGAAACTTACGTACTATCTTTACACTACGTGAATTAAATTATGATCTATCACGCATCATCCGTTATGGAGTTTGTTTATAGAGGCCATCCCCTTATTCTCGTTGCGTCTTTCTATCTCAAAAGATACGAAAAATTATACGAACAATTGGAAATATTCGCAAATTTGATTCTCGTCGAGAATTCTTCAAAAAACATAAAATCTCTCACTCTCTCACTCTAACGGAAGTGTATCTATTTAAAATAATGTCAATCTATTTATGTCAACTCTAACAAAGTGGTTAAAGGTAAGTATACCTATTACCTATACTGATACACCAATATAATATCCGAGGTATGTACCTAGTGATAATCTTCGACCACAATTCACTAAGACAAAAATCGGAACCAATTCACCATCCAATCTGGGAATTAAGATCTATAACCATCTAGATACCTCACATAATACGTAACTATTAACGAATATTTCACTGGTTAATACTGACAGAAGTAGATTTTATTACTATCTTCAAGACCACTGTATATAATTATATTCTATCTGTTTGAAACCTGATGGAATATAGGTCGCTTAGAAAAAAAAATTATTATGAACTTTCAGATTATTTATTTGTTACACATTTTGACAAATGTTATTTGTTGTGGTATTAATGGAAAGGTTTTTTCAAAAATATAGCTTCAGCAGTAGAAAGTTATTGTAATACTTATTCGTCCTGCACATTCCTAAAACAATCTTGAACATTCTGCCATATTTTTTATATTTAAAAAAATACTCTGAAAAGCTTTCAGATAGACACCCTGTAAGCATATTAATCAAATGAAATTACACCCAAGATATAAAATACTGTTTTTTATTCACTTTACTTGCACTGGAGTAGACATAATTAAATTAAATTAAGGTGTCTTATTACATAGTGAAATTTTAAACGAATAAATTATCCGCAAATGGAACCCGGAAAAGGTTTTAATGGTTTAAATTTTTGCGCAACATATATTTAGTATACAGTGTGTTCCAACTAGAACCGGCAGTATCGGTAACTTTAAACATTGGAAATGTTTATGTTTTCGTATACCTATGGGTACAAATTTCGTGCAACGCCAAAAGACAACGGCGCGGCGTCGCATCAAGTGACGATTGTACCGTACTCGGACGTAATCGGTAGGTTAAGGAAAACTCGCGGATATTGTCGATGGGGTTCTTAGGTACTTAATAGTGAACAATTGTTTTGTTAATTCCAATCTCTCACATCTCCTTTGATAGTGTGGCGAACCTGTGACGACGGTTAACATTCAGAAGGGTGACGTGAGATATTTGTGTTTTACATAAGGCGTTATATGGTTTTCATTTCCAATGTCTCCGATGGTTGCGTGGATTGCATTGGGGTATGGGTAGTTTCAACAAAACAACCGTTTGTTAAATGGAATACCGTGTATTTTTTACATATTCAAAAGAAAATTCTAGACAACATATTATTTTTTTTTAAGCTCTTAGCTGCAAGAAATTTCGACTGCTAAGGTCATTGAATGTTCTTGCGGGTGAGCAGTCATACTATATCTCTTTCAGAATATTATTGAATATTTCTAACTGAATTTTGGTTCAAAATACTTAAAAATATGTTGGGGGTTTCCAAGTGATTTCTTTCTTGCATTATCAATAACCCGATGCACATTTGTTCTTCTCATATTATATTTCACATCCATGCTCCGCTCAAGACGGCTTCTGTTGCTAGAACACATAGACCTTAGATCACATAATTATAATATTAAACAGATGATTTTGAGTGGAAAATTCGAAACAAGAACGTCGCTGCTATTCTTTTCCGTGGCATCCTTAAGAAACTCCTAGTGATAAATTGCGATTTACCTGCAATCTGTAGACTTAATTTTACGTGGAAATTGGAAGAGCGCCTAATTTTTGGCAAGGCCATTTCTTTATGAATGATACAATTTACGGGAGGGAACACTTTCGATTTGGAGATGAAGGAGAAATAGTATAAAGTTTGAGTGAAACATTTGTATACGAAATCATTCGGCAGGAAGACAATTGTTTGATGCATTTATTCATAACAAAAAGATTAATTAATTGGGCCAAATTTAATACTAACACAGCACATTGGCATTTTATTTCTGTGCATAAGTAATCGCCATCTCGAGTATTACTTTCGGGAAATTGAAGCTGATTCATCGGGATTCACAATACGTGTGGACATTATTGTTTGCCATTCATCCCGAAAATGCCGGTGGTAAAAATGGAATTTGATAGCTTTTGCTTTACTTAATATGAGGTCTTGTAAATGTAACTTTCTCGTTACAGTGCGCTTCTGTATTTATAAACGCGCACAGTTTACTTTATATCCAGACAATTTCATGGTCCTCTTGACCTGGAATTAGCTTCTGTAACGAACACAAACCGTCACCAACGGGCTCGGCGCCACATCTGTACGTTCCTGGGCAATAGAAGGCAAGGGGTGAGGGGGTGATTTAAATTAAAAGAATTAGGGACAATGAGTCTGAAAGTCTGAGGATAAGGACAGGAAATTGAACTAAGACGAAAGGGCCAAGACAAGAGCATTAAGTATCCCAGTTTATTTAATAATAATAATAATAATAATAATAATAATAATATGCTTTATTTTTGTGCAAGCTGGTAAAAAAATAACAAAGTCAAAGTTATAGAGAGAATCACGCAAAAAAAGGATTAGAAAACAGTTAAAACTGATCTAAGTTCTAATCCTGAAGAACTGAGTAATAGTATCATGTGTGAATAATACTTTGCGTATACGTAAGAACTAAGAAGTGAAAATATGAAGCGAAAATTTAAAAAAATAAAAAAAAAGAATTGAAGTTACGAAAAGAGTTTAGATACATAGCACTTAGCAGCACATGATTTACGTTTGAGCACTAAATAAAAGCTGCTTGTAAAGATATTTAAATGTAGGTATGGATTTAACTTGCGATGGTGATTGTGGCCTTAGGGATAATGGAAATTTATTATATATCTGGAAAATGGTATATGTGAATGACCGACGAAACATCTGTGTTCAGAGTTGGACTGGGTCACTGGGTCAACTGGGTCACCTGGGTCACTGAATTAAACTGGGTCACTGGATCGCTGGGTCACGTCATATTCTCTTCAGTTAGACCCAGTGACCCAGTTTGACCCAGTGACCCAGTTTGCCCCAGTGACCCAGTTTGACCAAGTGACCCGGTTTGACCCAGTTTGACCCAGTGACCCGGTTTGACCCAGTGACCCAGTTTGACCCAGCGACCCAATTTGGCCCAGTAACCTAGTTTGATCGAATAACGCAGTTAAGTCAGTGATCTTGGTTCAAGTGTACAGATTATGAAATAAATGAAACTTAATGCTGGTTTGTTGAAAATAATACTCGATTGCTGGACAACTGCCATTTCTGTGATGTTTGCTTTAATAACTGCCGTAAAAAACCTTCCATGTCCCAAATTGTATTATAGTACCTAATGTTATTTCTAAACAGTTCCTTCCTTCATTTCTTTGCTTCAGGGTTTACGAGTTGCTTACTGGTGTTCATTCATTTTCTTCTACTACACCTTTTCCACTTTTATTCGAGAAACTATAAAGTTAATTTGAGAAAGTATCAATTGTATTTGAGAATAGTAAAATGTATTTGAGAAAACAACAAATGTAGTTCAGAATAGTGATTTGTATTTGAGAAGGCATCAAATGAATTTGAGAATAGTAAATTGTATTCAAGAAATGGTAAAATGTATTTGAGAATCAATTGAAAAAGAGAAAAACAAAATCACATGTATAACACAGCATGATGCTGCTGTTGCGGGACTACATACAGTAGCGGGATTATAAAAATTTGATTCTTAATATTACATTCTGAATTCTGAAATACAAATAACGACTTCTTAAAATTAAATGATACTTTCTCAAATACAATTGACTATTCTCAACTACATTTGTTGTTTTCTCAAATCCAACTGACTATTCTCATCTACTTTGATGTTTTCTCAAATACAAGTAACAATTCTCAAATACAATTTACAACTTCTCGAATAAAAGTGGAAAAGGTGTAGTTAACTTAATCCAAATAGCGGTTTAAACTGGACCACCGGGTCAGGATGGGTCACCGGGTAAAGCTGGGTCGAGATGGGTCACTGGGTCAAGCTGGGTCACCGGGTCAAGCTGGGCCACAGGGTCAAACTGGGTCACTGGGTCAAGCTGGGTCACCGGGTCAAACTGGGTCACTGGGTCAAGCTGGGTCACCGGGTCAACTGGGTCACCGGGTCACTGAGTCACCGGGTCACTGGGTCAGTAAACTAACTGGGTCACCGGGTCACTGGGTCACTCTATGCTTGACCCAGTCCAACTCGATATGAAGGAGGTGATATCAATCCTTTGAACCGCAAGTTTAGATTATGCACATCTGTACGATATCTGATCTAAAGGGCGACGGGCGTGGTGTGTTGTTTTTTGTTAGCTCATGCTCACGCATTATATCTTTCCTTAATAGACGGCAATTAAGTGTAAATCGATAGCGCTCCAACCCCCCGTCTCATGTGCACCGATTGCAATATTCAGCTGGAGCACTAGTGTTGCAAGATATTATCACAGGGTAAATTTTCACGATTTTATAATCGAGTGAACCCTTTTGCAGTTAAGCCCAAATTTTAAAATAACAACACTACTTTATACCGGGTGGTGCACGGTAAGCAAAAGTCATGGCTATTGCTACTAATAACAGAAATGTTGAAATTTATTTTTAAATTTGCGGGTAAACCAAAAGCTTAATAAAACATGTAAAAACAGTTTTGTATGCACCTTTTAATTCTGAACCACTTTAAACTCTACAGTTTTTTCTGTAAAGTGTAAAATGTACAGGAGGGCAGGATATTGCATAAAACTAATTTCCCATGTTAAATCCCTATGTTCCTACTTACCGTGCACCACTCGGTACACCTATCAATCGAAATAGATGATTTTATTTGTCATTTTATGACAGTATATACTTACTAAACAGAGCATTTCGTGTACTCCACGATTATTAAGCGTCAGAGCAAACCGATGCAAGCTTTATAGGGGACTCGATGGTGTCCGTCTGTCCGTCAACACGATAACTGTCAAACTGGACCGATTCGGTTCAAACTGCACAGTTGACCTATCTGCCTCATTGCAACAAACCTATTGAAAATGGATGAAATCCGATGACCCCGTGGGGTCACGTCCCTCTGTCTTTGGCAATCTTTGCATAGTTGACGTATATGCCACATGTAACAAGCTTGTTGAAAATGGATCAATGACCCCATAGGGTCAAACCGAGATGCTCTGTCGCTTTTTTAGAATCGCTTTAGGGGTTTATTTTAGTTAGACTGTAGAAGCTATAAGGATAAAATTTGAATTTATTGGCTAGGTATATAAAATTAAGGGTACGCATTTTGCGAATGGCCATAGGTACTATACAACGTATTAGAAATTGATAGCGTATCGTATCATTGTTCTGAGCAGTATTTCTTCAACAAATGTGTTTGTTCGCCTTTATTATGTTCATCTTTATTACGCAGATCTATCTGGATTTGTTCCAGTGACTTATTTTTTGTTTCTGGAACTACAATCACCGCAAATACCAAGGAGAGAAAGGAAGAAGCGGAGAACACAAAAAATGGTACGTGTAGTCCGTAATGATCACTAGTAATTTGAAACAGTTTAGATACGGCAGCTGCCACTACAGAGAAATATATGTTACAGAAGCCAACAGCTAATCCTTTTACGTTTAAAGGAAAAAGTTCACTCAGAAAAACTGATGGGAGTACCAACAGTCCAATACTGTACCCGATTACCAAAAAAGACAGATCGCCTAGAGTCATCCAGGATAATCCGATGCTATTCAACCCACCTTGACTTTTAAGGTATAGATTCACTCCTTCCATCAAAAGGGCCACACAGCAACATGAGATTGATGTTATAAGCAGGGGACGTCGTCCAAGTCTATCGACAATCGCAGAAGAGACTGCAGAAAATACAATTAAAAGTACGTAAAGCAATGAAGTTGAGGCTATCACAGGAAAATCTGCAGCGGCTTTTTCAAAAATGGTTTGCGTGTAAAATATAATAGGCACTATACCGGCGAGCTGCTGGGCGCCCATCGTGCCCAAACAAACGAAAAGCCCTTTTCTATTGCTCGCAATTTTAAAAAGATCTAGAACGCCCGCTTTTGCTAACCCTTTCTCGTTAGATTCCACAAGTTCTTGAATTTCCTCGGCATCTATTTGGCGTCCACGAACTTGGCTGAGCACTTTCCGCGCGACGTCGATCTTTCCATTAACTATGTAGTAATTCGGTGTTTCAGGAATAAAGGGAAAGAAAAGTAGAAATACGACAGACGGCAGCGTGCAAATAAGCGAGGAATACGTTATGTTCACATAGTAACCTAAAATGTTAATAAATAAAGAGGCGACTATAGTTAACGTGCCCATAACTGAAATTAAAAAGCCTCGTATTGGAGGATCGACTAATTCACTTATGTAAATTGGAAGGACGCTGTAGATAGCACCTCCGCCGATTCCTGCGATGAATCTCGCCAGAAGAAGGAAGCCGAGGCGTTGAGTGATGGCGATGATAATCCACGATGTTAAGAAAGGCAGCGCCGATAGCAGTAACGACCTCTTGCGCCCAATTTTGTTAAGTGCAATACCTGCAATTATGGAACCCACAGGACCGGCAATCAGATACGTTGTAGCGATCCATGACCCTTCGTCCTTTGTTATACTAGTGAGTGGGTCTCGTTCAAGTACTGGTAAGAACGGCGAAGGCCAGCCCACATGCATGCCCATTCCCAGCATGTTTAGAAGCGCTACAAATCCAAAATAGTACAAAACTAACAAAAAGGTAACCTTACCTATACAAGTGCCGAAGTACTGAAGTGGTCGTCCCTTCAACATCTTGCCCAAATGTATTCCTTTCGTGCTCTAACTGGACTTGCAAATAAACAGAGGTCATAGGCCATTAATTATCAAGTTAGGAAATAATAGTTATGAAAGCGTGTTCCATTACATCAGTTTTAATTCAAATCTACATTGAAAATAAATGTTGTACCAAAAACCTATGATATACCCATCTACACCAGCGATACTCAACCTGCGGCCCGCCCAGCATAGTGGCGTACTGCATTTAGCATTTCCTTGCAATTTATTTTCAAGTATACTGAGAGCAGCGAAGAAAACATGAATTGTTCTTCATTGGATGAAGATGGTATTTGGTATAATTCCAGTATAAGAAAGTAGTACTTTATTAAAAATAGACGAAAGAGGACAATTCATCCTTTGAATAAAAAGCGAAGTCAGTTTAATGAATTCCATCACCTTTTTTTTAATGATCTATAAAAGAAAATCTTCGGTTTTTTGAGTAGGTACATGCGAATGAACATTTGACTACATTTTAAGCAAATTTGGCAGAAGAACTGCCATGCTCATTGCTCAGCTCATAACAGTTCAAGAAAGACTCATGCTAACTTTGAGGTAAGTACAAAACGAGTATGTTATAATTTAAAAAAAGGAACTGTCCGGCTAAGATCTCAGCAATTACAATTGCTAGAGACTTTAAAATTTTCACTAAAAGCTTTCTGTTACAGTGTAGACGTGTAGGCTCTAGTCTATTTTGAGTTAGATTACTCCTGAGATTGATAATTTTAAACTTTTCTAATGAAATACTGATCTGCATTACCAAAAATGCGCTTTCGTCATGCATATGCTGTGCTGATATACAACTTGTTTTATTATAATTGTTATGTTATAGCCCAGTTGCAATAGCTCTAATAAATATGTGGCCCGAGAATGGAAAAGGTTGAGTATCATACCATCCCCAACCGCCACCCCTCTCCTCAATGAAATCTCGCCATAAGCTACTTATGCGGTGCAATTGATTGCATATGAACTTTGAGTTATTTTAATTATTTAGATAATGGCATTTATTTCACATAAACCTCCTATATGCGCTCATTTCACTTCAGTTTCCATATTTTAATTACCCGACATAAATAAGTAAACAAAAATAGAGCGATCGATGTTTTTTTTAAAGTGTCCGTTGTAATTTTATCGAAAACGAATGCAAAAACTATTGAAAAACGGGAGTGTTTCAAGTGCATAGTTGTAAGATGCGGAACAACGTGGGAAGAACGTATTAATTGCAGCTGAAGATAATTACTATCTTTTGTACCTTCTCCTATTTATAATAAGTCTCTAAATTCAGACATTCAGACAATTCTTCTCGCATTCTGGAAGACTATAATAGTTATGTAGTTCCTATCTGTAATCTAAAGTTAGAGCAAATACATATATCGTAATTATCTTTATAGGTATGTATATATCCATCGTCTCCCAAGCTATTGGGTGTAATTACAAAAAGGCAACATAGATTCTTTCCAAATCGCTCTACTATATTACATAGGTATCTACCTACAGATCAACAGCGTATTCTTTGTGACTTTGAGGATAATGTCCAAGTAGATACAGTGTATGTCGAGTTTGCCGAGACATTTGACTGTGTAAATCAATTGAGAAGCTTTTTGCACTTGGAAGTATAATATGATCAGTGTAATATTGCTCTGTGTGTATCGACTAACCATTTATTCCTTGAAGGGTGTTACACGGGTCGGGTTCAATAACAGGGTACACTTAAAACGCAGCAGAAGGGAAAAATAGTAATACGAGAGGAAGTGCTTATATTTCTGCGTTCTCAATGAAAAAAACAAAATTTAAAGAGTGAAATCGATATTATATGTTTCTCAAAATATTCTCCAATGCAGTTTTTCATTCGTTCAAATTAATTTTTTAGATTTTTAAGATAGTTCGGTTCTGTGATCGCTTCCTTCCAATAGTTTGGATATACACCTTGATCCCAGATTGTGTTGAATTCCGCAAGAAGAAGCTGTTTAAATGTGCCATTAAGATTACTAAACATTTCGTCAAGTCCGATCCAGGAAAGGAGGGTTTATTCTGTAGTGCTTTTTCAAATTCACTCATTGTAAAATGGAGATGATCCATACAGATTATTCATACAGTCTGGGCCTTGCCTATAATAGGTAAAATTTAAATCTTTTTCTTTCTCGGCTTTACTTTCCCAGAACTGTGCTTCGTAGTTTTCGGCGCTACTAGTTTGTTGGATTTGGTCCGCTAGGAGTTGACCAATGTGTAATGGGTTAGGTACTTGTTATGTCGCCGCTAATTGTATAGGTTTGATCGCATTTCTTCCTGATATTGATTTAATCTTTTACCAAACTTGTGTAATGGGACTTTGATGAGTAATGCTTGATACATATTTCGCCCAGGACTCTCTTTTATTTTGAAGAGTAATTTTACGTGCCTTCGCTCTAGCCTTTTTGAAGGAGGTAAGATTTTCGTTTGAAGGGAAAAATGTGAAAAGCTCTCCTTTTTGCTTTTACCGCTTCACTTACATCCTTATTCCACCAGGGTGCTCGATATTTGACGGGCAATTGTTAACTTCCTATTGTAAGGTATCTCTCACTCACTGTCATCAAATTTTTATTACCGTTATTGATATGTACACTCCGAGTTCCTTGCCGTATTATTATATTTTGTATCCATTCTATATAATTATAGTACCTATATTGTGTTTTACGACAAAAAGTCATAACAGCATTTTGTGTTTAAGCGCAAACTATTAGCAGGACACCATTCTTGCAAATTTTCAAGATCACAATGTTGCACATCATCACAGCTTTCTTCGTCGTAACTGCATTAAATATATTTAATTAAACCATCGGCCTATAAGAGAAAACAATTTGTTACATGCACTTTGAGCACACGTAGCAAAATTACCTTTGGGTTGGCGTTGTTATAGGGGTTCTCTTCTGTGCTGTGAAAACAGAATTGGAAAATTCGAAACCGTCCACAAACGGACTGACGGACAGACGGACGGACAGAAAGTCCAAAATTATAAATTCACCTTTGTCGCTCGTTAATAAACTTGTAACAAATATAGCAAACGTGCTCCTGGGTCATTGAACATTTAATCAGTTTTTCCTTGGGTGATGATAAACAAAATACTGAAAACAGAATTAGAAAATTGGAAACCGTTCGGGTGTTATCTTGTCCACAGACGGACGGACGGACAGAAAGTCCAAAATCATGAACTCGCTAGGAGCTCGTAAACCGGATAGGCGCCACCGCCACTTAGCCTTATAGAAAATACCTTAGTGTAAAGAATTCAAAACACTTTTGAAGCACTGTAATCAGTATTGTAATTTAATTACTTTTCTCAGTAGTAATCGTCATTAGTAATCATATCCTAATCATGAAGTACAAAATCTCATGCCAAATAATTGTTAATTTTTGGAATTCCTAAACAGAACGGTACCTACATATTCAAAACAATCGATGTAAATATTTGCGTATTAGCGTTGGTGATTACTTTTCACTCAACGGTATTAGTTTCTAGATACAACTACAGATTGGAAAATTTAACTGCAACCGAAGAATTACTCTTTGCTGCAACTTCTATTCTTACCCTATGCTGCAACGTAGATTTTGGCTCGATTTGTCGTCAATATAGGGGCAGATTTAGACTATGTCTCCAATTAATAAATATTTAGGGCCCCCATACATGTGTTCATTCAATAATATATCCCTTTTTTTTCGTGACGCACACATTTTATAATAATATCTAGTCACATGTAGACGCAAGTTATGAAAATAAAATCCATTTTGCTGGCCGCGCAATTTATAGGTTTGCGCCATACCGTGGGAGGTAGGACATGTATGCAGTTACATAATTGTATCAACGGTATAATAAAAAATTATATCATAAAAAGCTTGGTACTCGCGACCTTGTTTGAATCCTAGACGAAAAATAAGTACACTACTCTTGAATTAAGAGGGAGACACTTGATTCTTTCAATCGCCATCTATATTCAAGGATAGTCCCTAGCCGACAAAAATTTACACAGCGAGGTTTCTGTAAACATTGTTTACTCTATGGTTCGTATTGTAAATGGCGTACTAAATAAAATCGATTTGAAGAATTATGTTGGTTATTCAATTTCTATACCATCTATCCAAAGATCATGATTACTCTTTTTGATCCTTCATAACAAATGATGTACAGTGATTTTATAAACAGTGACCTCTAACGGAAGAATAAGAAAAACTAAGAAGTGAAAACTTTACCAACGAAATTCACTACAATGAACTTGCACTAGAAACATACAGATGGCGCAACGGGTACCAAAGAACATAGATATATAAATACATAGATACAGCCATACCCTAACATAGTTCAAAAGGACGTACCATCTATTACCATCACTTTCGGCACATTAATTACGTATAGCGCTATCCTTTATAGAGGTACCCTGAGCATGGAAGACAAGATTCGCATTATTTATTATAGCTGTCAATCAAATTGTTAGCACAAATCACACAGAAAATTATCAGATTTGAGATTTTACAACATAAATAAACCGCCTTTTTATTTATTTAAATCGCATAGCAGCAAGAAATGTTACATTTAAAATGGAAGATGTTACTTAGAAAGCTGGAAAATGAAGAATTTGAAAAAATTACAGCTGACAAATGGAAGAAAGTGTGTGAACATGTGGAAAGTGATTAATTTAAAAGAGAAGTTATATTGGTTGATGTTTCTGAACTTTATAATAATAGTGTTAATAATGACAGTGATGATTCGGATTTGTCAATTTCATCTGACGATGATTCGGATTGTGAACTTTTATAAATGTAATGAATGTTCACTAAATGAGTATTATCACCAATTGGATATCATTGCTAAGATGTTGTATTTATTTTAAATAAATGTACACGTGTAGCTTACTTACTACAATTAGCACTATAATTTCAAAAAGAAACTCCACCGATTGGACATATGCCGAAAGGTAGGCAAGACGCGTAGCGACCAAAATTTGATATTGCACGCACACACAGTCTATAAATCTCGTTTTCCTAAGAATATTGCACGGATCCTTCTTTGTGATCATGATACAAACGCACTGCATCAACATCATATAGGCCAAAATGATAATTGGAAACGAATTCACTTCCTGTCGCAACTTAATCTTCGTAACCATTACGCCTACAACCATGCAATTAAAATTAAATTGTTGAACATAAACTTTACTTACTTACGGTTTTTTTTTGATATTCTACAAGCCAGCAATGAATTCACTGCAGCACATCATGCCAAACAAGGTAAACATAGTCCTAAATTTGAATGGCGTAGCTCTATGTAATAAAACTATTTCAGGAATAACAATTATGGACGCGTCTATCATTATGGCAAGCACTAATGTTATTCGTATTCAATTGATAACGCAATAATCACATAATATTTAGTGAAAAAACCGCCCATCATGTTTAGGGCGAATATTTTTAGTTAGATTTGATTTCGCGCGATCGTGAAATGTGTCAACTGTCACATGACTTATGGGACGCGCTAAGTTTGTTTTAAGCGTCCGATTCGCGTACGACATAGTGGTTAATGCAATAAAAAGAGATAGAACATGTTTCTTCTTGGTTAGAAAGTAATGGAGAGATGTACAAATTTCTTTGATATGTTTTTTAAAAACCGAGGTACGTTTGTTAAGGATGGCTGTATCTAGGTATTTTTATATCTATGCAATGAATGAAATTTAAAACTGAAAAAAAAACATTACAGATTACTTGTAACATTGCACACAGAATTGAAAAATATAAGGAAAAATTCTGGACCAAGTTGGATCCGTTCACGATTTGAAACATGGATTAAATTCAACACCCAGCTGCTCTATGACTTGTCTCTTGTAAGTATGAAGATATACCTACATTGTCGCTAACACATACCTACATCACTAGAACTCCTGATAAATTATTTTAAGATAAAGCCTTTTAAACCTGTAAAAATGACATTTAGGTACTTGCTTGTTGTAGTTTCATGTTATGTTGTTTGTCAAGCGTTATATTTGAACAAGCGGCGTTATTAATTTGGTTGTTCAATATAATCCCTTGAATATTTTATGAAACGATGTAGTTTAATATAATTAGGCGAATACCGCACAAAATGAGACTGTGCTTGAACTTAACTACCCAGAGTTCTTTTGTATTTACTGTTTCCAACCATAGTCCACCTCACCTTGATTTTGCAGGAATGAATCTCATCATATTCACTAACAGCATTTTTTTGTAAACGACTTTTTAATTTGATTGCGAACTGCTTGTCCCTTCTGACTGATTCTCAATCCGGCTAGAAGGACCATGTAATTTTAGAATCACAGATCACAAAATTTAAACTGAAAATCGTGCAGATCATCAACATCAAAATATTCGTAACAGAGAACATAGGCAATGCAATCCTTATAAAGTCCCCAGATTTCAGTTTTTAATTTTATAGATTACAAAACCGCTTATTATCTTCAAATCCTATTCTGATGAGATTTGGCATTATTGTTTAACATAAGAGCTTATGTACAAGTCGAGACAGACTATTTATAGGTATAATTTTATCGGTCTAACCTTTCTTGTAAACGGAATACTTATTTTTTCTTGATTTGGATGCAGGAATGTATCAATTACACAAGAAACAAACTATACAAAAATAATGCATTAATCTATTATAGTACGGCCTAAATAATTGCATTAATTGGAAGTATATGTCTAAGCGCGTTTTAAAAACTAACAACTGATTACAGCATCCCAGTTTATTCTGAATATTCTTATCAACAATGTGAACAATTGTAGTAAATAAATGAATAACCATAATTAAAAAATGTAATCACAAAGTAAACCTCTTGGGACAAATTATAATTATTACTTTCAAAAGTGTGATACCTACCATGGTACAAATTACTTAAAATGTGAAGTATAAATAAACCTATTGTATATAACAAAAATTACTGTTGTATTTTTCTCTTTTTTAATGACGGTTTCTCAAACACTTGCCTCATACCGCCTGCTTGTGACGCGTGAAACTTTAAATTTTGAGCAGTTTCTCCCACCCAAGGAGAATCAAACTGTGTAGTATCTTGGTCAACCAAATGTGTATATTTAGTTCTGCCCGATCTACCAAAGTTCTTAACTTGCATAACTTTAGGCAAAATTGTTTTATCAAAATGATCGTCGAGCGTTGCCTGAGCAAAGTCTCTTTTCAACACGTCATCTTCTTTATCCAAATAGAAAGCACCTCTGTGATAGTATTTCTGCAAAAATTTGTATTTCCCCTTAACCGCCTTGTTGACCGTTACTTTCGGATTTAACCTCAATTCTAACCGCCGTTCTTCTTCTGTCATGTTGCGCATTCTATCTATTTCGAGGCGTTCTTTTTCGATACTGTAAGACAAAATACTTAGTAATTAATGACGTAATAATATATACATACGCTTCTCTTTCTTCACGATCGCGTTTAATACGCTTTAGTTCACGTAACTTCCAAGCTTCATACTCCACCTCGTCATATTCGTCATCCGTACACACGTCTTGTAAATTTGGCTCGTTAGTGTCCTTGCTTTTAGCTTGAAGATCTTTTCTAATTGAATCTTCCACCATTCTTAGAGTTTGCCTACGACGTTCTTCTGCTTGCTTTAAAGCGTCTATCTCGATTTGTTTTTGCCTTTGAGCCTCCTTCTCCTTTTCTAGTATGGTTATACGCTCTCGTTTACGTACAAAAATTGGTTTTAATCTTGGACCTACAACAGAATTGAGCTTGTGTAGACAATACAACCCACTGAAACTCACAAAGAGCACAAATTAAAATATTAATCGACATGTCCGATTTCAAATTCTTCACTACCAACTCTATTCACCAGATATAACACTGTGTGATCAACAATTCCCGAAGCTGAGCTACTTTTCTACAGTTCCTGACAGATTCCTATATGGCAACTAAAGAAGTAACATAATTGACTACTACAGTGGCTGTATGCGAGACAGTGGCGACAATAGGACTTGAGAGCTCCGCCCAGCCGCCATGTTGCATCGAAAATTTTAAATTAGAGACCATCAAATACCAATACAATTGTAGTGTAGGCAACACCCAATACATGTATGACACACAATAACCATATCTGTACACGTAGCAGAAATTCCATGCAACATGGCCACTGATCTCAACAACCAACAAAAAATCAAGTACTTTATTGTTGCCAGTCTCGTACAGTCAGTGTAATTTCTCTTGATGGTAGAGACATCTATGTTTTACAATTTATATTATTGAAAATAAAAACAATCTCTATTTCCATACAACCCACGTTTATAATAACATTGATTATTGGTGTGTATAATCAATGACAATAGTTAAAATTCAATAGTACAGTATGGTGTTGATTTGCCATTTTTTCAGCACCCTATATGGGGTGTTAATACAGTGGTAATTATGTTATTAAAAAAATTGAAAAATAATTGCAAATACTAATGTTTTAGAGAGCTGAAAAGGTCTTAGTGACAACAGTAGTTTTACTACTGTACAAGTAGGTAAATCTAATACCTACCAACTTCAAATTAACAACAGACATGACCTAAAAATTCCAGGGCCATAAATATACTGAAAGTTAATTTTATATGGCTCTGTATTCATTTTAAGAAGGTATACTCTGTTTTTTAACTAGGAAGACGGATTTAAAAGTTCCCGCAAAAAATCTTAGTTTCTATTGGCTCGCGCTGCGCCCGTTTTACACCCAGGTGAAATTGCTATTGACATGATTTAACTGTCAAATTTAATCGCGATTCTCGTCCGTAACTGTTGTACTTATTTTTGAGTTTTTCTGTGTTCCGAGTCCATTTGCATAAATTTTTACAAAAACAAACAGTTCTTTTAAGAACTAAAGTTGATATTTCGCGTTCTAAGTGTACTGGCATTAGTGATGGATTCAACTCCAAGTACCAGTAAAGCAAGCTTGTCTCCTTTGAAAAAACGTAATTGCTTAAACTTGGGTCATTTTATCAGTCTCCGAGAAGCAGTTTATTATAAACACATAAACAAATGTTGTCTGATACTCCGGATATGAATTTTGTTACGCTTGTGTTGAAGATTGCATCTATCACAGGTAACGTAAATAATGATGTAGGTATATATTTTGTTATTAAAGTATGACACATATTAGGAATTGCACGATCTACAGTATACCGGATAATTAAAGAATATCGAAGTGCTGGGATTGTTACCCCTTCGAAACGTTCCGGTGGTCATAACGCTGTTGCAAATGTGAGCTCTGACGATTGGCGGAATTGTGTGCAAAACGTTACTAAAAAAGAAAATAAGATGTGTAGATTGGATGGTCTAATGGATACATTTATAGAACCATTAATTATTTCACTCGGATCGGAGGACAGTGACTGTTTTAGTGAACTTTCGGAAGACAGTGACTAAATCGCTCATACATAAAACAGTGAACTGTGCTGTTTAATAATATGAGTATAATTCCATTGTTCTGAATTTGTTCAATAACTTAACATTTGTTGTAAATTGTAAGGTGGATTGTGTAGTATTACAACTGATAAAACATTTAAATCTACAATTCAAAATAATGTTTCAAAGGCCAAAAAATGTATGCAGAATGATTACCTATTATCAATGTATTACCTATTTATTATAATTCGCTTTTAAAAGTATGATGTATGCATAATATAAAAGATTTCCTACCAAATAATAACCCAAAAGCATAAATAATGAAATCTATCCAAATGTGAAAGAAAATCACATCACGCAACCCACAATACATGTCTGTATAAAATGAGTCTATTATTTTTGTTACTAGATTCTAGTGACATTTTCAGTGTAAATCAGGTTTTTAAATCCGTCTTCCTAGTTAAAAAACAGAGTATAGTGGTAGCATTGAGTTAGAAAACTAATGGAGGGAATATAATGGTAGAGGGGGTAAGAATTTTTGTAGACGGAAGTTGCCACAGATAGAGGCCACTCGCGTGGATAGGTTCCCGTGAAGGTACATTTTGGCCGACATTATTTGACATATGAAAACGCGGGTCCTGTCACTGTCAGTTTTCCACCAAATTCAAATTTTATTAAATTTGCCATTTTAAAGTACCTAATAATTTCGGATCGGTTTGTGCTCTGGTTTATATAAATAACTAACTGCCGCATAGTGTTTTTATCACACGCAATTTTGTGAATTGAGAATGATTAGCTGCGTATCATGCAAAATTTCTCATAAAGGGAAGAAACAGGGCATTTCCTTTCATCGGTAAGACATGTCATTTATCATGTTGTAGGCGAGGTTGTAGGTACCTAGTTTATGTTTCTTAGTTTTCCAAACGAACCGGTACTTCGAGCAAAATGGTTACCTAACATTTGTAAATATATCTCAAGAACAGCTCTCGAAATTTACTTTTGTGCTCACAACGCTTCATTGACTATGATTTCGACCAAAGGTTGCACCGGAAAATGTTCATCAAATATCTCGTCAAATATGCACTAGGTAGGTACTATCAAAACTTGTAATGAACCTGAGACCAACCAATCAATTGTAGCTATTGATCAACACAGTGAATTTAATGGAAGTTGTCAAGTTGTAGTGGCTATAGTAAACTGGCCTTAATTATACTAATGGAACACATCAATGTATATTTAGATTTGTAATCAATGATTATATTAAATCTGCATACTTTCCCATCCTTGTCTATTTTGTTTACTTTACCACGAGCATGTATTTTACTCCTTCTATACGTTTTTTTTGTTATTATTCCTATTAGTGGAAAGAAAATTATATCTCTACGCCACTGAAGTGAGACGCTAATGATAACGGAAGTGGTGTGGTACTTTAATCACAGTTAGAGGCCACTTTTGGTTCCCGTGGTCTACGTCTGGCCAAGCATTTGATTCCCTCCATTAGTTTTCTAACTCAATGAGTGGTAGAAAGCAGGGAAGCTTTGACCTTCAGTGTGATTGGTTAAAATACGAGTCAGTATTACACTGAAACATAAAGCGAGTGGCGAATTTTGCAAGCTGGTAGTTTCTGTTGCCATCTAACTGTTGAAGTGTCATTAACTGTTAATGTCAAAGATTTATTTCTGTTTGCAGTGATGGATATTTCTACTTTACAATAACTTGGTGGCATTTTATACTTTTCCTGTGTGCTTATCTTCAAACACAGCGCCATCTACTACCTTCTTATAATGAATACAGTATACTCAAAATAATGTGTGGGTGTGAATAACTAAAGGAATATCTCAATAAGATATTAACCAATAGCAGTTGCCACATAAAATTTAACTAATTATGAACCTGCCAATTTTTCTTTGGAATTATGCCGCCATATGGCGATTGTAATACTTTCTCCATAGGGGCCTTAATAGTAGACACAACCCTTACCCGTTTCTTCCTCTGAATCTGTATACTCCTCGTATTCTGAACTCTCAGATGACTCGGTATCCTGATGCTCTTCCTCTTTAAGTAGAAATTCCTGATCCTCCTGTTTACTTAAAACTCTCTGTTTTAATAACTGCCTGCGTTTCTCAAGTTCGCTGTCGCTCAGTTCTGCTTCTGACTCATCATCGTCTGGAGCCTCTAACATGTGCTTCGGTTCTAGATTTGGAAAGCTTTATTTTACAATGACTAATACGAATATAACAGACCAGGAAGATTAATCGGCTCTTCTTCCTCCTCTTCATCCGAAGTTTGTAGCACTTCGGGCTCGTGAACGTGCCGACGACGTTCCGGTCTTATTTCTGTATCGTTTTCCCGAATTTTCAGACGCCGTAACCTTGGATCGTTCATTTCGTCGTCACTTTTGGGCGCCTCTGGGCTAGGCGGTTTAACGGGCGCGTGATTACGTTTTTCCAAGAAGTCTTCATCGTCACTTTCGGAATCTGATCGCTGATCCTGTGCATAATCGGGACGTTTGCCAGACACATACCTGTGTACCTTGACTTTCTGCATAGATAATTCCCCTAATATTTCAATAAATAAATGTAAGTAGCTCATCAAAGGGGTTGGTTCGTTTACCTTTTTCATTTCGAACTGGGACAGCACCAGCTGTGCTTTGTATACCAAATAAAGATGCAGGATTCATCATTTTGAAAAGTTTAATTTGGAATAGTTGTAAAATTGAAAAACTTTGAAATCATTAAGTAAATCTGCAAGAAGTAAACACTAAACATATGTCAGTTGTTATGTCAAATTATCAAATCTGTCAAAAACATTGTCATGCACTGGTTAGCTGCATTCAAGCAGATAGAGTTGGTATCGTCTACATGGGTACCACAAAATAATGGATTGCTGGTGCGATTTAGAACAGGTTTATTTCAAATCGTAAAGTGCCACTTGATAAAACACGTAAAACCCTAAGACAGGCCCCCCTATGTTGGTTTTAATTAACGCTATGACTTGAAATACGGTAAGGAAGGAACGCAATATAAAGGGCATTTTAGACATTGCAGGTTTTATTGCAATTCTTGCAGTAATTCATTGCCGCATGTGCAAGTTCTCGCTGCAGTTACATTGCTGCAAGACATTCTGCAATTTTCTTGTTTAGAACTTGTGTTATTTTTCTTGCAATTTAGTAATTATTTTGTTAAATTTAATTTTTTTAATAATGAAAGTGGTACCTATGCACTGGAAAGCATTGCCTCCTTAGCTATGATCATGATCATGTTATTTAAAACTGAAATACTTAACTGATTATTTTTATACAAAAACTAGCTGACCCGACAGACGTTACCTGTGAATATTCAATTCAAGTTGGAATAAACAATAAAAAAATGATTTCAAAAACATAGTGTTTATTGTAATGCTTTTTCACACGCGACATTGTTTTGTGTTCTCTTTTCTGGGGCGTAAATAAATAATCCTGAGCGTTTTTCGAAACGGTAACAAGCGACATATACTTGGCAAAAAAAATTAATTTCTAACACACACTCCCTCCGCCCTCTGAGACCTTGTCACCCACTGATCTCGAAAAAGAGTCGCGCGGGAAAGTTATAGTTTGTACAAAGCAATTTATTTCGATGAGACCTTTTATTAGAATACCATGAAAGGTAGAACGTATGTTTCCCTCCTTCCTCCATTTTTAAAAATTTAACTTGGCATCACTAAATGCATGCGTATGCAAAATCTGGCACCAATTGGTTGTCGCATGTAAAAGTTAAATACGTTTTACTTTTAAAAACAGCATCTCAGGGAACAATTATTTCATGCCCCCCCCCTTTAAGACAGCGAAATTTGATGATGGCCGTCTGGCACACCTTCAAGGTATAGACTACCTACTGCAAAAAATTTCAGGACTCTAGGACCATTACCCTGGAAGTAGTTCAAAATGGCAGAAGTGGGTCAAGATGGACAAAATGCAAACAATCGCGCATTTTTTTAATTGTTAAAAAAATGCGCCAAAAGTTATAGTTGGAGTTGGAGACTAACAAAACAAAGATACCTAGCTCATCGCTTTGGTGCAATAATCAAACTTTTTGTTTTAAGTATCATGGAAAATGGCATGCCTTTGAAGGACGAATTCAACGTTAACAACAAAATCGCGACTCATATCGCATACACGGTGTCCATTTTTCGAGTGCCACTATGGGGATCTCATTTATCTTAAGAGATAGAAAGTTGGTTAAATGGGGGCAAAGTTGCCAATTTTCGTGCTCAATAAGAATCTGAAAAGATATTTCAAATATCTTCAATAGTTTTGAAGATATCTCAAAAAAACAAAAATTTCTGATTTTCGTTTTTATTTTTTTTATGTTAAACTAATCGTAGTAGACATTTCTAATAAACACATTATTCGGACACTTTTTAATGGAGATTTCAAATTTCAACTCTCCAGATGACGGAGAAACACGTGGCAATTTTAGTTTTTCTTATGGGCGCCATTTTGAATTTTCACATTTTGAGATTACGTCTTTTTTTCTCTTTACAACGATATAATCACACATGGGGGTTCAATATCACATTTTTCCTAAAAATACAATTTTTAATTTTTTGAGAAGAGTGCTTTGGAAAAACAAAACGTTCTTTTGTTGTGAACAAAAGGTTGACTTATTTCATGTAGTGTCATTTAGGTTTATGCTAGTTGTATTGCGAAAATGCCTTTTTCAAATGCAGATGAAAGAGATATGATCCAAATTTACTACACTTCTCTTCTCATCGAAATGCCCACATGACTGCTGCAACATACTAGCAGCGTTATCCAGAGGGGCAACAACCTAGTTTGAGGTATTTTTCTTTGCTGCATAAAAACTTGGGCGAATATAATTCTTTTAAAAGATGTAGACAGCAATATGGTGATAGACCCAATGAATATGGAGCAGGCAATTTTGCAAGCGGTTGAGATGAAAATCGAATTTCTACTTCTCTGACAACTAATCGCTGCAACCAGACAGATGGATCAAACTGTCAAACTTTTGTTGACAACAAAAGAACGTTTTGTTTTTCCAAAGCACTCTTCTCAAAAAATGAAAAATTATATTTTTAGGAAAAATGTGATACTGAACCAGTATGTGTGATAACGGGCGATCAAAAATGAGTTGCTGTCGAGTCGCCTTTGGAAGTTCAAGTTAAATACGAATTCCCATGTAAATAAAAATTCCAAAGGTGACTCGACAGCAACTCATATTTGATCGCATTGTATATCGTTGTAAAGAGAAAAAAAGACGCAATCCCAAAATGTCAAAATCCAATATGGCGCCCATAAGAAAAACTAAAGTTGTCACGTGTTTCTCCGTCATCTTGAACGTAATTAAAAACAGGATGCCATATTTGAAGTCTCCATTAAAAAGTGTCCGAATAATGTTAATTAGAAATGTCGACTACGACTAGTTTATCATAAAAAAATTAAAAACGAAAATCAGAAATTTTCGTTTTTTTGTCATATCTTCAAAAGTATTGAAGATATTTCAAATTTCTTTTCAGATTCTTATTCAGCACGGAAATTTGCAACTTTGCCCCCATTTAACCAACTTTCTATCTCTTAAGATAAGTGAGATCCCCATAGTGGCACTCGAAAAATGGACACCGTGTATAGATTCTAAACTGAAGAGTTTTTGTTAGCAAGTCCCCTCCCCCTCCCCCAGGGGATGGGTAACATTGGCTCTCGTTCGAAAGTTCCAATCCTATATAGCTTATAGTTGAGATTCGAGATCATCAATCACACTGATCCCTGTGAGTCCTGTGACTGTCTCTTTAGGACAAAAAGTGTTAGTTTGCAAAGAACAAGTCAGTACACACATCACCCAACTTCCACATATTTAAATGAATGACCAAATAAAGGCTGAGTGTATATATGAAAAATTTTAATAAAAAGACGGTATCCCGTCCAATTTGGAAATGTTTTATTTTAGAAAACTTTGTCTTGGGTAATGCACGTATGTAGTTTCTTGCGTTTTTACGTATTAATAGTTCCATTTCTTATTAAAAGAGAGTGACGTTTACATTTTTGAAATCAGAAAAAAATTCTCTATCAAATGACACAAAAAAGTAAAAATCACTTCCATAAGAATAAACAAAGTTGATGATTGTTAACCGGTGACAAACGTCAGACTTAAAATTTAAAAGTAGGATCTTGTAGAGGGAAAAAGTGGTCATAAAATGTATCATTTATTTCGAAATATCTTTTTAAATAACTTTAGTAAAAAATAAAAACAATTTTGCAAAATTTCGTTTTTTTCCTGATATCTCAGAAAGTAGTCGGAATTTTTTCAGTTTCAAAACTGTATTTAAAACTACCTTCCCCCCCAGTCTTGCAGTTCAACTAGCACTTTTAACTTTTCAAACACCTTAAAGCCAGTAAAGTTCTTTGAAGTTTTCAAAAACGCCAGTCTTTTGTTGACTAAAGCTGTTTAGAAAGACGAAAGATGAGTGTCAAAGAATAGGTATCTGAATCTACCACTCGATTTGTTTTGGTTGAATGTAACACCCTGTATTTTGCATGTGTCATAGGTCTCTGATTCTATCCAATAAGGATCCTGGATTCAGCGCATGCATATTTGATTTAATAATGGCGGGGAGACTTTTTAAAGTGAAACGCCTCTATTTACGTACAAATAAAATTAATGTTCACATACAACGAATTAAACATTGTTCGTTTAATAAACAATTTCTCTTATAATAACAAAACTAGCTTTTTCGCATAGGACTTTTCCATAATTTACTTAAAAACAAGAAATAAATGAGGTTGTATTAGACGCGTATATTTTGAGAAAGTGAGCAACGCATGCAGGTAATTTGCTGTCTCTGTCTATAACAACTTTTAGTCCGAGTCCGCCTCTTCTCATTCAATTCAAAGCGGTAGAAGTACGAATACGTTGTTTCCTTTCGAGTATTACGCGACTTGTACTCGTTTTTTGAAGTGCATTTTGAAAATCGACATTTTGCCAGTACGAAATAGGCAACTTTTAGTGGTGTGTAAGTGTTTCGTGGCAATTTTGGATTCTTAGCTGGACTTTTACCTACATCATAACAGGTACGTAACTTGTGCCCGATGAAAATCACAAACGGTACTTTGCTTTTTATTTAAAATGTTTGAACAAGATTTTATGTGTCGTAAGGACCAAGAAACGCACACGTTTACGTTTAAAAAAAACAACAAAATAGGCGCGGCAATTTCTGGTACATACGTCTGTGTGGTGGGTATCTGTAACAGAAGGTAGGTCTAGACGAGAGACATAATGTTATGAAAGGCTTTAAGAAATCAAGGCCAACACTCAAACTTAACGTTTAAAGAACTGGCCACACAAATCATGGGTATTTTGTGTACTTAAAAACAGAATTGTTAGTTTTGCAGATAGTTGTATGGTTGTTGTTTCGATTCTTGTTCAATGTGGATAGGTCAACGACATTTCATCCAGCGTGCCCCGCTTTTGCCCGGTTATTTGTTTAATTTGTTGATTTAGCTGTATGTGCTAAGGGAAACTGTTAAAAAAAAGAACATATTTGAACAGCTAAAATAGAATGTTAGAATAGAATTATTTCCTATATACCGCCAGTTTTTACTCAAGGTCTCTTCTTCAGCTATCGAGACATTTGTTGTTTGATTACGTAAACAGGATAATATTTGTTTTGGATTGGTTAAAGGTGAACTAATTATCAAACACGTTTCTTGTAACCAAGACGTGTATCTTCACATGACCCAAAATCGATGACAGAACTGGTTATTGTTGAAATTTACACATGCTTCGTTTTCCCATTGAATTTTAAACCTTTTAGTTACCAATACCGGCAAGTTTTTTTTTAATTTTGTGATTCCATCGGAATTTTGAGGTCATTTTGAAAATTAATTTAGAGGAAAGATCACAATCAAATAATCGGTGCTCCTACGGCAATTTCTAAATTCCATTCTATTTTTGTGTAAAAAAACATTTTTTGAACTAATTTTATGAATGGGAAATAGTGTATGTATGTACGAATTAAATTTGCTCAACGGTCAAGGTAATATTAAATACAATGGCGTTACTGCCTGACCTGACTTAACGTCGAATGGTTGATATATAACAATTTTTTTAAAAAGTGGATCTGCCCAAAGAACTAGTATGAAATCTTCAGTCAGTGAAGCATGTAGTTCATCTCGTAGTTCATACGGAAGTTTATGGATCAGATGTGCCAGAATTGAATTGCTATGGTTAAATGGGATGGAGATTCCGGTAAAAAAAGAACGAGAAAAAGAAAATAACACAAATATAATCCAATCCAAGTTTTGTCTGAGGACATTCAAACCCAGCTTATGAAATCTAAAGGTCAACATCGCGATTTGGTTTACAACCTTCGCCGTGACGCTGACGCATCTCCGTTGCAATCTCTGATACAGGTGCGATCAAAGTAATATCTTAAAGTTTAAATTGCCATTTCGGAAAATACCTATATAGATAAAATATCGTCTAATTAAACGTACAAGTCGAGGTACAATGGTGTGGTAGATTTTTTCAAATTCGACAGTCACATTTTATCATACAGGGTGTAACAATTACGCACGCCAATAAATTCAGCTCGGATCGTAAGGTTCCATATAAAATTTTATTTGACAAATGTGTTGTACGTCGCCAAATAAAAGTGATATTGAGGTGACCGAAAATCTATCTCGAACGCACTGTATATTCTAAATAATATGAATTCCCCTTATGTGATGGGTTTGTCCGTCCGTCTGTTGTCAGCGATGTCAAACCGTGTCAAACCTTCGCCAATCGATTTCTACGAGTTCAGGGATCAGTGATCAGATATTGAATCTGAGCCGGATTAAAAGTCGTGTTTCCGAATGCGAGCCGAGTGTAAAAAAATTCCCCTACCGAAAATCGTATGCGATTCTTTATATTATGTTTAAATATCTCCAACCAAAAAATTTCGTTCATCGTAATTTTCCGCATCATGTTTAGGAGTTTTGGGGGAGCTTTTCGACTTGTTTAAATGACAGTTTCGTTGCGACCACACGGAAGGTACAAGTCATACGCTTTCCTAAAAGCGTACATTGTTCAGTGTACCTACCTATACATAAAAAGCTTCTATAAGGTAAAGAACCTACATGTTGACGCTCACGAATTGACGTTCGTGATTGTGTGGAGGTGGAGGTAATTAAACCGTGTTAAGAAATAAACTAAACTACCTAATAACAATACCACACAATGTGCTAAATACATACCGTCGTTAATCACATTAACATTTCACCGTAAATTTCCCAATCGACCTAGTGTTACCTTACATGACCGTGAAAAAAAAACCCATAAAGTGGTAATTTTAATCGTTTGCCGCTTTGATATTTCGCATTTGAGTAAAAATTTACAAATGAATGCCAACCGAAATAATCGAGGGGTCATCCACCAAGCAAAATACTGTACACCAAATGCTGATCGGCAGTATTTAGCATTTTATTGTCAATAATGCTTATATTGCTCCCGTAATGATTAATGCATATGTAATGCTTGTATCTCGGCTTGTATAATGCCTATAATGCTCGATTGCTGCCTATAACTCCCTGTAATTCCTATAATGCCTGATTACGGCCGATATGGAATGTGTACAGGAGTATATTATGTGCAAAAAAATATGAGAATTCCCCACTTTATGACAAAGTTCTGGAATGTTTATAGCGGATAATATTGTATATCATATTTAAATTCATATGTGAAGGCAAGTTCAATTTGCTATAGCATTCTCGCGGAACTATAGGCTCTATAATAAGCGCCTTATGAAAACATTCCCAGAACCACTTCCATACAGACTTTTGTTACCGTTTTTAGATGTGGAATGCTGTTTGAGTAGCATTTTTTATTGCGAATACAAAGATGTGCATTGTGCGGCACATAAAAAATAAAAAGTTGAAAACTGTTAGTTTCAACATGATGGTGCACCCTCGTACAATCCTTATTCGGGCGAATATATACTTATCGGACAAATTTCCTTGTAAATCGAGAATTCGTTCGATAGTTATTCGCACACTATTAAGGCGTTGTGTTCGTTCAAAAAATTTTTCAGAGTAGATAGAATTGGTATCCACACCATTCTGTTCAGAAATGTTTGAACCGAGGTTTTGAACCTTCCGAACCTCGCTTTACGACATTTTCCTGTACGTAATGTATCTAAGTGGCCTCTCCTTCCCGAGCTCCTTCCTTAACCACTTTTAAACGATTATTACTGCCCCATTTTTTAAAACATTCGTTCTTAAAAATTGAAAAAAATTCAATCGCAAATTATAATCCCTTCTAGATGGGTTACCTAATACAATTCGACAAATATGAAGGTACTGATTAATAGGTTTTTTCTTTTTACTATTCAAAGGGCAAACAACCAATTTTTAACAACCCTTAAAGGAAGCCGTAATGGGTTGAATACAAAATTTAAAAAAAAGAATTATTAACAGTAGTGAAAATCTCCGAAGCTGACGAACAAAAAAATTCAATAAATGAAGCTCCTATACTTCTTAAAGGAATGCGGTTTGATTTTTTCTTGGAAATCACGCGATTGCAAAAATTACGCAATCCGGCGAAAGACGAAAATATCGTTGACTATTGCCCTCAGAAAATTTCAACCAATCATATTAATGCATATTACAGAAATCACCTAGCAACAGACAAATATCCTCGAGTATTCATGCACTTGTGCAATACCCGCGGGTATTGCTTATGTGTAAATACCTAAAATGAAACTTACATAAATAATTCCAAATTTTTATTAACGAAAATTACAATTTGTAAAATGGCAATTTGTAACTGAACCCATGCTTATTTTCGGTTTCATGATGCTTTTTGAAAAACCATGTCTTTCAAAGGATCGAAACAAACATTATATTCTTCTTATCTTGCAAAATTTTTGTCGGGCAATAGTCATCCCGTATATCCCTCGTGCACGTCAAATACCAAATCTGAGTATTTCGCTCATGCACTATTCAGGTATTTGGCGTGCACTTGGGATATAATACTTGAATATGAGTTATCAACGCACACAGAACAGTTTGCCACACACCTTGAACTTGCTTAATCGAAAATTGCCAAGAAATTGGCCAAAATCCACGCCAGATAACGACGGATTTGGTTCAGCCGGACTTGTACTTTGCACATGATGGTAGAAGTCCCACTTTTTGCCATGTGGTAATTTCGAGGGTAATTTTATGTGATCATGAAGTAGGTAGAGAAGGTATTGACGGATTAGGATGCTCGGGTTTTCTGTAGGAGGTGTTGGAAAAACTTTGAAAAGATGTCATTTTGGGAGGGGGTCACAACCGTCCCCCAATCAGTCGTATATATTTTTAACGATCACTTATTTAAAAACCTGTTTTGAGACACATGTCATGGTAATATAGTATTAAAATTAACAACTTAATAAGACATCAACACAATGAATATCTCATTAAGGCACCAAGAGAACAAGGGTCCATTTAAGCATAACTATAATAAACCAATGTCAGAAAAATAAAACACAAATAAAATAGGTAAATTATCCTTTAAGGATAGTAATAGTTTTTACAAAATTAGTGTGGGCTATCAAACACAAAAGGTTCGCATATAACTTTGTTAAATTATCCAAAAATCGCATTCCTAGCCTATCCTATTTAAAGACGTGCCACCAGTCGTAACTCTTATGGTTGCTGAGAAAAAAATTGAAGAAGAATTGCAAATTTCACTTCTTTGAGGGTGGCTCCCAAACGAAATACGTTAGTCCAACTAAATGCATTTTCAGCCATTTAACCAAAATTATGACAAACTCGTTATTTTTCAATTTTTTCTTGAATTTTTTGCAGCAATACTGGTTAACGAATGAGCCATTAAAATGTAGAACAAGTTTTCAATATATTTAGTTCGTTTTTTTTTGCATTGGGTAGCTTATAACTCTGACACCTTAACCAAGAAAAATGTCAATGTCAACTTTCATAAGAAAGAGTATGGAGATATGTTTTTTTAATTTTAACGAAAGATATGCATATCGCATATTGTAAAAATCAGATATGCGCAATGTGAACTCTCTTATTGGTGGACATAT